GGTCATAGGGTAGTTCTATTTTTAGTTTTTTGAGGAACCTCCATACTGTTTTCCAGAGCGGCTGCACCAGCCTGCATTCCCACATAAACAAACATTTTTTTAAAAATCTATTGAGTAGGGGTGCCTGGGTGGCTCAGTTGGTTGAGTGTCTGACTTCAGCTTGGGTCATGATCTCACAGTTCATGAGTTCAAGCCCTGCATCAGGCTCTCTGCTGTCAGCGCAGAACCCACTTCAGATCCTCTGCCTCCCATCCTCTCTGCCTGTCCCCCACTTGCACTATCTCTCTCAAAAATAAATAAACATTAAAAAAAAAATTGAGTAGTAATAGCTATTATGCTAGGCTGTGTGCTGTGCTGTACTTTGCACTGTACTACATAGGACCATCGTTATTTGTGATTTCATAACCCAAGATTAGCGTTCTCTACCTCCCATTTCACGGATGAAGAAATAATGTATACGAAAGCTTATTTTTATTGAATAATGGTACTTAATGAAAAATAGGGTGGAGAGTCTAAAGGACACTTTGGGGTACCTAATTATACTAGTTTTTGGTTTTGCCTAATCCCACTTTGAAACATACCATTAGCGCCCTTCGTAATGTTTATCAACCTTGACTGTGGTTGGATTTTGGTTCACAGAGTATAGAGGAAGGCATATAACAGTATGAAATGATGTCCCGTTTGTCTTTGGAGAAAAATGGGATAAGTCTAGGAAAAAGAAAGGGGAGGAATTTTTTTTTTTAAGATATGTACATGTTTATAACAAGAGATTTACTTGAAGTGAGCTGAACAAAGCTGTGAGTGGGAAAAACACAGAGAACAGGAGCATGGTTTGAAGTGTGAAGATACTTGGGTTAAACACTGTTTCATCAGTCTGCCAGATGTGGTATACACTTGGAACAGCCACCTTGAAGTGTATCCATCAAACCTCCATTTTACAAAACACGAAAGAAAAAAGTTAACTAGCTTGTCCATGTTCGTACATCTGATTGGGGACTAGAGCCCATCCTTCATGATCCCCGTTGTGCTTCTCTGGGGTTGTCTTGGGACCATGGTGCTCAGAGAGAGATAGCTAGCTGTTGGCTATTTGTACGGATATAAAAATAGTTGTAAATGAAATGTCTGTCTAGGCATATCTGCCTTGGTATTTTCATTGCCACAACGGCCCATTAGCAGGAGCTAATATTGACTTCAGTGCCCCCAGGATACTAGGAATCAGAGTTAATAAAGCTTATTAGAAGTTGCCAGGAGGTGAGATGAATAAGGTCTGAGGATCTGCTGTATAACACGGTGACTATAGTTGATAACACTGTAGTGTATAATTGACACTTGCTAAGAGTAGAACTGAAAGTTCTACATTTAACGACTTAATGTTCTCATCAAAAGCGGGCTGTAAATATGTGACATGATGGGCATGTTCATTAACTGGATGGGGTAAATTCTTTCACAGTGTAAACGTGTATCAAATCATCATGTTGTACACTTTAAACACCTTAGAATTTTGTCAGTAATACCTTAATAAAGCTAGAAAAAATAAATTGTACATATAGCAGTAATAGATAATCATACCTTATATAATATTCTGCAACTTCCTTTTTTATTTAACAACATAAAGTGAACATCTTTCTAAGCACACACACACACACACACATTCACACGGACATGTTTCTGTGTGTGTGTGTGTGTGTGTGTGTGTGTGTGTGTGTGTGTGTGTAATTCTTTCCCATGGCTGCAGAATACAGTATGCATGAGCCACAATTTTTTCAACCATTTGCCCATTAATGAACATTTGTTTCTGTCGTTTCTTCTTTTCTGTTATAAACAGTGCTACTGTAAACACCTCTTGACATTTATTTTAAATACTCCTGTTTTCCTTTCTTTGAGATAGAAATCTAGATAACCTGAGCATGACCCTAAATACCTTCAGTTGTTGGCTTTTAAAAATTTCTGTTCAGGAAAGGGAAAGAAAAATAAGATAAAAACAGAGAGGAAGGCAAACTATAAGAGACTCTTCAATGCAGAGAAAACGAACTGAGGGTTGCTGGAGGGGTCTTGGGAGGGGGATGGATTAAATGGGTCATGGGCATTAAGGAAGGCACTTGTTGAGATGAGCACTGGGTGTTATATGTATATGATGAATCTCTAACTTCTACTCCTGAAATGATTATTACAGTATATGTTAAGTAACTTGGATTTAAATAAAAATTTTTTAAAGAGGAGAAAAATAATCTCTGTTCATGAGGGAATCACTGCGTTTTTGGTTTGTTTGTTGTTGTTGTTGTTGTTGTTTTTTCATTATTTTAGAGAGAGAGAGCACTCGAGCAGGGGCGGGGCAGAGTGAGAGGAGGACGTAACATCTGAAGCTGGCTCTGCACTGACAGCAGAGAGTCTGATGCAGGGCTTAAACTCACAAACTAGGAGATCATTACCCGAGCTGAAGTCGGAAGCTTAACTGACTGAACTACCCAGGCGCCCCTCCCTGGGCTTTTTTTAAAAATGCAGATTCTGGGGCATTACCCAGTGACCTTAAACCCTAATTATGTTGGGCAAGTTGCATAGCATTTTTAAGTTTCAGTTTCCTTGTTTTCCCACACTAGAATGTAAAATCCACCAAGGCGAGTAGTTTTTGTTTTGTTCACGGATTTATTTGCAGAGCCTAGAGCCATGCCTGGCACGTCAAAAACACATAATAAGTACTTGAGAAGTAAAAGAATGAGCCAATAAATCTGTACAATGGAGCTAATGTTGGCTGCATAGGAGTGCTTTAAGGTTTCAGTACAGTAATGCATCTAACATTGTCGCATACTGCGGGCACTCAGTAAATAGGAACTCTTTTTGTTGTCTTGAATTTTCAGTCATAGTACACAAAACACTACATCTGCTACAATTCAATGGATGGTCTTGTTTAAAACAACAATAATTCTAATTTTTAAAAAGTCATCACAATGTAAATTGATAACCATTTGTTCTGCATCATAAACCAAAGCTATTTCATCTTCTGTCATCTTATTATTTATGTATGCTTGATTGTCTCACAGTAACTTATTTGCAGTATCTTGAATGTTCTATGGTGTTCTATAGTCATCTGAAAATAATTTCTCTCAACTCGAAAGGATTACTTATCTTGTCATAGCTGTTGAACACAATCAAAAACCAATAAGTGACCCTTTAAGGAAAGATCCTGTGTGAACCCCACCAACCATCTTCTGATTATCTTTAATAGAGTCCAGAGGAAGTATTTATGGCAATCCGGAACCCTCTGGAATGGCACTGCAAGCAGATGGATCATTTTGTTGGACTCAATTTCAACTCTAACTTTAACTTTGCGCTGGTTGGACACCTCTTAAAAGGTAGAGGGCTTGGGTCAGAATGTTTTTATGAAACGATATCAGGAAGCCTGAAGTAACTAAAATAATTCATAATTTTAAATAAGTTGAAATAATTTGGCTCATATGTCTTACTTTAACTGCAAATATATCTGTCTTCCTGAGCCATGTTTTGTTCAATATGTATTTTAATAGAGCCTAATTCCACGTCAATTATCAGATTTCCTTTAAAAGGCAAAAGAGTTGATTCCTACAATAATCCTAAATACCGGACTTTCTAATAGCTGTATTATTAGTCAATACTAAGTACCTTTTCGGTTATTGGAAATAAGACAGACTGCAAACCAATAAATGTAACTTGGGTAACTTATGTTAGAAAATGACAGCTTAGAGAGTTGATCACAGACTTTCCCCAACTTGTTTTTAACGTATTGATTAGTTGCATTGTTACGTACCACAGAACCTCACTTTTCTTGTACCCCACACTCCCCCCCCCCCCCCCCCCAGCTTCAGATTTTTGTATTGCTTATAGCAGTGGTCTCAGCTATTTTTAGAGCCAACCCAATCACTGCCTGCCCTGGCTCCACTCCCCACTGCTGACTTCACTGTGTGTTAGCTTTGGTTTATTAACATGGAACAGCCATGGCCAGAGACTATGCCATTAATAGGAGCGGCGTATGGTGAGGAGTCAGAGGCAAGAGCAGTGAGACTTAGGATGAGGAACTAGCATGAACCAATGGTCTTAAGCAGCACTGGCTTTGGTCATAATTAGAGTTTTGTATCAATTTAAATGATTCTTACACTGGAGGGATCATGGAGGTTCCCCCAGTTTTTGCCTGACATATGTACATACACCCACTAATGTGAATGTAAACATTTGATTTCATCACCTTATGAAATTTCTGCAAAAATATTAATAGTTTTAATCACTAAGGTGAATAGGGATTACTCAAAAGATATTACACTGACTCCAGGAATTCAAAAGAAGGGTTGCACTAGGCTGATAAAGTGCTTGCCTATTCTGTATTTCTAAAAATATACCAGGTGTTTTCAGTGTCCACATCCCCTGCTGTAAAATGGAGTAGCTTTCATGTTTAAAAGGTGTCCAGAGACGAGGCTTACTCTCTGATCAACCCTGTTCTTCGGGTTCTGAGAGCATATGCAGCCTACGTCATTAGGGTTTTTTCTTTAAGAAAAAAAAAATTTTTTTAAGCAATAGAACCCTATTTTCAAAAGATATCGTAAGGTGATCCCCAATACATAGTTGTTTGTTTTTGTTGTTTTTTTTTTTTAAAGTTCCTGCACTGCTTTAGGGAATGGAATATCTGAAACCACATCCATCTTTCCTAATTTTCCTCTCCCTGAGGTACCTTAGAGTTCCAGGGAACAGTATTCTTTTCTACACATATATGGTACTTAATCTTTTTGTAATTAAGTATTCACATTTGTATGTTTATCTTCCCAAACAGCTGTTCTCAGAAGGCAGGAGTTTTCCCTTATATTTCCTTTCCCTGTAGAGTTGCTAGTTAAGAGAGTAAGAACTCAAGGAATACTGGCTGAAAGAATGGACTAACTTCCTGTTCGTTTTTATTTGTTTTAGGGTACAGGCATCCTTCACCTGCCATTGTTGCAAGAACGGTCAGAATTCTGCATACACTACTGACTCTGGTCAACAAACATAGAAACTGTGACAAATTTGAGGTGAACACACAGAGCGTGGCTTACTTGGCAGGTAAAAGCACGAAACAGACAAAATTAATCTTACCGAATCGATCTAAAAACATCTGTCAGTCCTTCAGCTGGTTGCTTGGCGGGGTAAAGAGTTCAGAGTCCAGTCCTGTGGTGGTGGTTAAAATTTTAAGTTTTGCCAAAACATTTTTCCTTATAAAAGAACTTGCATTAAAGTCTGAAATGCATTCCCTTTGTCGTCTTTGGTTCAAGACACCGCATGGTTCCCTGTTTTCTGTCATAACATCTGAAGGCCTCAGCCTAGCATCCTTGGGCCCTTCAGCAGTTCTCCTGACTGTCGCCTTTCCCTACATTTCCTAAGTGCCAGTTTTTATTACCTCTCCAGATGGATGGGCTATTTTAAGCTCATCTACTTGCCACCCCCTTGGAATCGCCTTTCTGCCTCTTAAAAGTGCGTTCCTAATGCCATTTGTTTTAGCCAGAATGTCTGCCCATCCCCACCATCCCATTAAATCTTCCCACTTGTTCTTACCCGGTGTGTGTTTCTCCACTTGGCAACACTTAGCACTCCCGTGTAATGCGGCTCTGGAACGTAGCAAGTGCGGATTCCCAATTTAGGAGACGGCAGTTTGTGGCAGCTTTTTTGTTGGAATCATTTGACCTTGGGGAAATCATCTAATATCTCAGAGTATTTTTCCTTATCTAAAAAATAGACCTTATAGTACCTGTCCTGCCCACTTTCTGTGTTTGTTGAGATCAAAAGTACATTAAAGCGCTTGACAAATACAAGGTACTTATTAAAATCTCAGTATATTTCATACTTATGTAGTCTTTCAAAACAGACCATAAACTTCCAAAGTAAGAAAGTCTGTCCTAAGTGGTTTATATCCTTAAACTTCACACTCTCTAGGGTTCTTTCTCTGCTTGTCTGACAGCTATTACCCTCTAAGAGGTTGTAAGAAATGTATCCTGTTTTTAGTCACACTTGAAATTTGTTAAATTTTCTCATCTTCTTTTTCCTTTTAGCCTTACTCACAGTGTCTGAGGAGGTTCGAAGTCGCTGTAGCCTAAAACATAGAAAGTCTCTTCTTCTTACTGATATTTCAATGGAAAATGTTCCTATGGATACATATCCCATCCATCATGGCGACCCCAGCTATAGGTAAGTAGACTTCTTCTCCCATAATTACATAATTATAATCAGGTTTCAATTTTCCATGCCAGTGGAGGCAGGCAGCAAGAATGATCAGGAAGGTAATATATGGGGGAATCTAAAGATATCTAGGAAGAGTATATAAATCAAAACTCCTGTTACACACATACCATGTTTAATGTGGATTAGTAGGAAAGTTTCTCTTCTTCTAATCTAACTGTGCTCATGTTAACATTAGTTTGCCTCTGTTAAGCACAAACCAGTTGAGTAATGAAAAGAGATGATTTTGAAATTACCGAGTTGTAAGAAAGGGCCTAGGAAAAAACCAACATGAAATATAAGCAACATCACATTCTTAATGATAGAAAACTAAGCTATACAGATTTGTGCAAAGATACACATGCCGACACATTTGTTGTATTTATTCCCATCATGCTAAACTTACTTAAAATTTTTCTATGGTGTGGATTTAGTTGGTAGAATAATCACATTATGCCCACTGTTGTATGTGGTTTGGGGTAGTATATTTTTCACTATAACATGGAGAAATTACATGAAACTTTGGAGACTTTCTATATTTTCAATTAAAAGACATCTTTAAGTTTTAGGTACCATGTTGAATGTAGGAACGTAATTGTGTAGCTGTAAGAGCTTCTATCATTCAATTTATCACCATCCCACTTTTCGATTAAAAAGTCTTCCACAGTTTCCCACTGAGATTTTAGCAGTGTATGCAGAAGTTTTCCAGGCACACTTGGTTTTCAATAGTCATTCTTCAATCATTTCTCGGATTATATTTCTCTGACATATGCCCTTTTGGTCCTGAAAAGGAAAAAATGAGTTTGCTTGCTTCCTTTGTCAAAGTATAGTTGCTTTTCTTGGTTTAAACCAAGAATACAATTGCCTGTTTAGACTTGATTTCCCCTGATTAAAAAATCAACGTGGTACAGTTCTGCCAAGCATCAGTGAGTCCCTACTGTGTATAAGATGTCGTGGCACGAAAGGAGAAAAGTGCTAATTTTTAAGAAAATTTCCCAAATAGATTCAAGAAACAAAGGAAGAAAGAGAATATTTCTTGGACATACACTAAGAGCTTGTACCCTAAAGCCTTTTAAAGTGCAGTTTTAAAATTAAGTGATTTCTGTCATTGGGAAATAGGACAGCCAATTGAGAGGGGCAAACAGTGGTTGTCTTTGTCACCATGTTACCTAATTCTTCTCAATTGTTTAAATCTCTCAGGACGCTAAAGGAGAACCAGCCGTGGTCATCTCCCAAAGGTTCTGAGGGGTACCTTGCAGCCACCTATCCAGCCGTGGGCCAGACCAGTCCCCGGGCCAGGAAGTCCATGAGCTTGGACATGGGGCAGCCTTCTCAGGCCAACACGAAGAAGTTGCTGGGTTAGTTTATCTAAATTATGTAGAGTTTGTTAAACTTTTTTTTTTTAACGGCCAGATACTTTCACTCATGGAAGATCATTCAAAGGTGTTCAAAATTATCAAAATTTCCCATTTTGATATAGCAAAGTTTTTGATGCCAGTTACAAGAGAGTTTGATAGATAAGTCAGTTAAGCCATATCAGTTAAACAGACAAATGAGAACAGGATCTTGAACCAGTTTTTTCTGATTCCTAGATGAAATACTGTGCTTATCCTCATTTTGTTCTGCCTTGGCCGGGCAGCAGGGAAATGGGAGTTGGGGAAACATTAGCCCGAGAAAGGAGGAGTCTGGCTGCACTCAGATGCAGGACCTTTAACAATATATTTCCCCAAAAGTATCGCCTGAGGGCAGAATACATCAATATGCTATGAAGCTGTAATAATGCTATTTGCCACCTTTTCTTTAAAAAGACAACAAAGTAAGATTTTTTTGATTACTGTATTTTTTATTACTCTATGGTTCTTTTTGAAAATGAAGATTGCTCAGTTACATCAGCATTTGTCGATGAGAGAGGTATACCTAAAATTCTGTGAAACCCTCTCCCTTTAAAAAAACTGAAAGTAAATAATGAGAGAGCTCACTGACCTCATGCCACCACAGAGGAACTTTGTCTGAAGATGGAATTGTTTCTAGAATACCTTGGGATCCATATTTCAGTGACCATGAATGGCTCAGTGGGTCTCAGTTATCCATACAAGCATATTTTTAAGTATCTTTGGGTATTGGGAAAATGTTTCTGTTCATAAGGAAAACAGTGAACAAACAATGAAGTGTGAAATAAATAATCTGCTAGTGAGCCATGAAAGAAATAGAAACCGTGAAGGTTAATCACTGTCACTAGTCACATAGGGTTGTTACCTTTTGTTTGAGTTTCTTTCTGTTTATACTTTGTCACAAAAGAGTCTTCTAGGAGTTTCCTAGTTACTTCGTGTTTTGTAATTCTGGATTTTCATGCTAAGGAAGTTGTAAGTGCAAAACTAACTTTAGAGAAAACGTACTATTGAATTCAGTTAGCCCATGTGCTAGATGAAAAAGTTATGGTCTCTGCCTTGAAGAGCTCATAGCTTGGTAGCTAGGCTTATAATCAACTGATTACGAAAGCATCCCCAAGTGTGCCGCTAAGTAACATGTCTTGCTGAGGAGAAACTGAGGATCTGAGGAAATTAGGAAACACTGCAGAGAGGAAGTAACTTTGAACTTTTTGAACTTTTGGGGCTTGAAGATTTACCGTGCACTTGCCTGACAGATACAGGGTGAGGAAGGCAAGCGTTCAAGAGAGGGGAGTGACGTGCGGGAGACTTTATATGCCGCGTTAAGAGATTTAGCCTTTTGTACCCAGCAGGGATCTTTAAGCAGGGAAGGGTTGTTACCAAATTTTGTTTTTAGGCAAGTTTTTCTGGCTGTGATGTGGAGAAATAGTCAGAGATGTTTGGCAAAGGGACCACATAAGGGATTGATCCAAACAAGAGACAGTGTGGACCTACACTAAGGCAGGAGCAATGAGAGAATGGAGAAGAGGGGTCAGGTGTGTGGTGATGTCTGAAGTAGAACGGACGAGACTTAGTGCAAGTCTAAATAGTCCACTGTCACCACTTAAAAAATTTTTTTAAATGTTTATTTAGTTTTGAGAGAGAGAGAGAGAGACAGAGTGCAAGCAGGGGAGGGGTAGAGAGAGAGGGAGACACAGAATCCGAAGCAGGCCCCAGGCTCTGAGCTGTCGGCACAGAGCCCGATGTGGGCACAGACCACGAGATCATGACCTGAGCCAAAGTCGGGCGCTTAACCTACTGAGCCACCCAGGCGCCCCTCACCTTCATTACTTGAAATAAGAGAAAGTTATTTCATGTAGTGCGATACGTGACTTAGACTCAAAGCCAAGTGGAGATGGTGCTACTTGCCATTTTTGAAGCATGTCCCAGTATATCTATTATTTAGCACTTTCAGGCATGCAAATGTTGTTTTCAAAACTGAAGCGTTAAAATCAAACTTTGATCTTGCCCACATGTGGAAAAATTTCATGCTAATGACTAATTCTTGCCACGCGCAGAATTTCTTAAATTGAGAAAAGGCTGTTCAGACATAGTTGATCTTTGCAGCTGAACAGTGCATACCCCTATACTCATCACCAAACATTGTACTTGTTGGCAGAGTCGGTTACCTCCAGTGTGGTGAATGTAATCTCAGTTTAATTTGGACCAATGAGGTACATCCGGTCCTGAGATGGAAAGCCGTGGGGCCAAAATTCCTTGACAAGATGGAAACTAAAGGAGCGAGACTCTGCCCCCAGGGATGTGTTTGAGCTTTCTTTGGGTCCTTAAATGAAAACTTAAACACTTGATGTCCAAACATTTTCTTTTTAGTATAAATCCTATTCACAGACACTGTGGTTAATGAACTGCCATATTCTGTAACTTTTGTTTATAGGAACAAGGAAAAGTTTTGATCACTTGATATCAGACACAAAGGCTCCTAAAAGGCAAGAAATGGAATCAGGGATCACAACACCCCCCAAAATGAGGAGAGTAGCAGAAACTGATTATGAAATGGGTGAGAAACAGAGTTAATAATTGATCTAGATCATTGAAAATAAGATGGGAGAGCCATATTTGCTTTCCAGCCATTTCTTAGAATCTTTAGGATGAAATATAGACGCGTTTGCTCTTGTTCAGAAGATAAGCTATACAGTCCTTAAAATGAAAGTATTCCTGAAACCTGTATAAAAAGTAATCATATATATGATATACAGCATTGTAAACAGCTGGCCAGAACTTCTGTGTAGGTGGATATTAATTCTGTAAGATATTGATGTTGCTGTTTTAAGTACCTGCTAAAAAGCTATTGAATTATAGAAGTAACAGTAAAATGTTAGGTGAAGTGGTATCTGGTGTGAATGTTCGGTTAATACAGCTGATTGTGTTAATCCGTATCTCACTGCAGAAACTCAGCGGATTTCCTCATCACAACAACACCCGCATTTGCGTAAAGTTTCGGTGTCTGAATCAAATGTTCTCTTGGATGAAGAAGTACTTACTGATCCAAAGATCCAAGCGCTTCTTCTTACCGTTCTGGTAAAATTTTTGACCTTTCGTGGGGGGTGGGTTTTTTGCCCTCAAGTTTTTATTGCAGTCTATTCTTGGGAGGCCCTTAAATATTAAAAACATGAAAAGGAAGACGGTCTTCTGCCTCTCACCAGAACAGATAACAGTTCAGCCACAGAATAAAATGTGTTTTGTTGGCTTTTTTGCACTTTGGCAGGCTACGCTGGTAAAATATACCACGGATGAGTTTGATCAGCGAATTCTTTATGAATACTTAGCGGAAGCCAGTGTTGTTTTCCCCAAGGTTTTTCCAGTCGTGTAAGTATCTCTTGTTTGTGTTTGACTTTTGTATCTATCTTGAAGTCATGTGTTTTATAAAAGCTCAGGCAAAGTATCATCCAATAATGTTCACCGGTTGTGGAGTGGGGGGGATACGAGACAGTGTGATAGAGATTTCAGCTTAGAGACAGTGGTTTAGTGGGGACCAAGACTAGTTTTGGCCTATTAGGGAAAACATTTTTTTTTTTTTTTTTATCTTGTTGATTTTTCTGAAGGCTTCATCCTGATGAGCATTGTTCATTCCCTCACTTAGCAGCAAACTGTTAGATGCTGTATGTACCTGTTTTGGTTTCTTTTTTGGTAGAGCTTGTGTGTTTATCCACAGCTGAGTGAAAACAAAATTAACCTTCTATATAGGAGATGACTTTTATTCTCTCTGAAGAGCAAAGATCATATTAGCCTCAAAGTATTCAAATCTAGGGGCGCCTGGGTGGCTCAGTCGGTTAAGCATCCGACTTTGGCTCAGGTCATGATCTCGCAGTTCGTGGGTTCGAGCCCCGCATCGGGCTCTGTGCTGACAGCTCAGAGCCTGGAGCCTGTTTCGTATTCTGTGTCTCCCTCTCTCTCTCTGAGCCACCCCTGTTCATGCTCTGTCTCTCTCTGTCTCAAAAATCAATAAACGTTAAAAAAAAAATTAAAAAAAAAAAAAGTATTCAAATCTAAATAACCCAAAGAAACATGGGATATTCTATTCCTGATCTAGACCTTCTATGTAGTATCATTGTATCCTTACTTTTGTTTAATCTCATTTTAAAATGTCAGAATTTTATATAGTTGGCTCTTGGTTATTTCTATTAATGGAGTGTGGCCGGGTTAGACATAGTTAATTTCCTCTTAATTTTGAATAGATCATATGTTCCACCCCTCCAAATTAATTTTGCTTTCCTAAAGTGACTGATATTAAATTTAGTTTTAACTCCCCGGGTACATATCAACAGTCAGCAGAAAGAAATGGTCCTAAAACATGTCAAATGACAGAAGCCAACCTTGTCTTGAGCAAACAGTCACCATATATAATTAAACACGGTTGCATGACGGTACTAGTTGGTTGTTTTTACCATATTTTTCTTGACGACTAAAAAGGACAGACCACGAAAATAAATTCATACGTTTATTGTAGAAAATTGGAAAAGCACCAGAAAGTAAAAAAACACCCCTCTCCCTTCATCTTTATCAACGTTGTTCTGGGGAATATATGATCTTTTCCAGTGTATATTACCATGTAAGTTTCCTTTAAAATGTTCCTGTGTTTTGTTTTTGTTTTTTTCTTAGACACAATTTGTTGGACTCTAAGATCAACACCCTGTTGTCATTGTGCCAAGATCCAAATTTGTTAAATCCAATTCATGGAATTGTGCAGAGTGTGGTGTACCATGAGGAATCTCCACCACAGTACCAGACATCGTACCTGCAAAGTAAATGTCTCAGGAGGATGGTTGATGAACTTGCTAAAATGAGCGCTGTTACAGAATGCATGACTAAAGAATTCTTTTTTTTTTTTTTTTTTTTAACGTTTATTTATTATTTTTTGGGACAGAGAGAGACAGAGCATGAGAGGAGGGGCAAGGGCGGGAGAACACAGAACGGCGAGAGGCTCCAGGCTCCCGAGGCCACATCAGCCCAAGCAGACCGAGGGCTCGAACTCACGGACCGCGAGATCGTGACCTGGCTGAAGTCGGACGCTTAACCGACTGCGCCACCCAGGCGCCCCCTAAAGAATTCTTTATAAGGGATCGGCTTGTTCATACTTCTCTCTCCATATGCCGTTTTCCGACTCTTTTCATCGCGTGTTCAGTTGTTCAATACAATACAAAGTTGTGGTTTACAACTTTTTAAAATTGCAATATGGTTTTATACTGAGTTTAAGTGAGTTTTAATCTACCCTGACATTCATTGTAAAAAAAAAAAAAAAAAAGGTTTCAAATGTGTGTAGGTTTTAAATGTCATCAACTATACAACTTATTTAATTTCTGTTAAGATTAAGAGAGTATCATGCTTGTTGTAAGAGTAACATTTGATTTGTTGCAGGTTTTGGTTTTAATGGCTTGTGGCGGTTTGCAGGACCCTTTTCAAAGGTAAGAAAATATTTTTTTCTCTACTGACAAAATGAAAAGTTTTTATTCATATTAGTGTACCTGCTCTGAGCACATACAATACTCTGAAAACCAGAATGATGATTCACAATAAACACATTATTTTTCTAAAATGTTTTCCACCATAGACTCTTTTCAAGAGGCAGCACCTTTAATAGGTTTATATATTAGTTTTTACCAAAAAACAACTCAGTTCCACTTAGGCTTGACTTTTCAGAAGGGTGTGATGAACTTCTGCAAAGTTTTCTGCTCTCGGTCACTCATGTGTTTGATGATCATAATGCATACACTTAAGTATCTTGTAATCAGAAAGGAGCATTACCTGTGGCTAAAATCTACCTCGTGACCCAAAAGTAATATAATGTTATATTTCAACTCAGTCTCCGTTCTTAAAAAAATTACATAATGAAAAAAAAAAATTACCTCCTGAAAACATTTTTCCTTCCAACCTGTTGGATTAGATTCATTCTGCCCTGAATATATCCTTATTTGTTTCTACTCATTTTTTTCTGATTGGCGTTAGTTGATATAGTGCTACATAAATGTGTTTTTGATGATTCTATTACTGGTTCCTCTAGATTGAGATTCCTTGAAGGCAGGACTTCTGTTTCTTACCCCTACAGTTCCTAGTGCAGTGTCCTAGTTTTATGAATTCAGTATTTCATTTTTATTTTGTTCAGTTATTACTGAATATCTTTTGATATGCCAACGTTGTGATTTTTAAAATGGGTCTGAGTTCCTAGAAGTAAGTATATCGTGCAGGAATGTGTGTAGTTGCACGCAATTCTCTGCCCTTCCCAGTGTTCAGTTAGTCGAATATGTAAATGGCAGCTGGAATGATGATACTCTGTTCGTTTTCTCTGTTTTGGAAAACTGACTAGACATCATTCCTGATGGTTTTATTGTCTCAGGATCAATGCCGTCTTTGCTTCTGCATGGCTTTCAGTAATTACAGGTTCATTCGGAAGCTGTAGGTGTAAGCCAAATAAAATTCCCCACATTAAGTCCCATGGTAGTCTAGAAATACTACACCAACCTCTCCCCGCCCCCTTTTAGCGCTGCAAAATACAAAAGAAGAAAAACAGTACATTAAGCCCAAGACAAAAATTGAGTTAATCTTTTGTGGCTTCAGAGGGGATTTACAGAAAAAAAGAATGGAGCTAAAATAATTTCCTATATTTTCCATTACAGCAAACCCAAATCCCAGACTATGCTGAGCTTATTGTTAAGTTTCTTGATGCCTTGATTGACACGTATTTGCCTGGAATTGATGAAGAAACCAGTGAGGAGTCCCTCCTGACACCCACTTCTCCTTATCCTCCTGCAGTGCAGAGCCAGCTTAGTATCACTGCTAACCTTAACCTTTCTAATTCCATGACCTCACTCGCAACTTCCCAGCATTCCCCAGGTTAGTAAATGTAATCTTTATATAAATTTGAGCAATACTATTAATATACCAACATCAGGACTTCCCTTGTTATCAGGTTATAGTATATTTATAGTACATTTTGCTCCTTTTGATCATGAGGTTCATCTTACATTTCTTCTTTACCTTAGAGTTGACTTGAATTTTGTTACTCTATAAAGCTTTCTACTTTCAAACAGTTATTCATAAGATAGTGAAATGTTTAGTGTTCACATAGTGTTCTAAGGTTGATAATTTTTTAGAATTTGGCCAGGAAGAGCAACCTCTGTTACCTTACCCTATAAGTGAAGAGAATTAGAATTCCCTTCCTAGATATATTAGCCTTGCCCTAAGGGCTTCTATGTCTCTGGTACAGCATACCATATCCAAAAAATACACAAAGTACGGTAGTACCCCCTCTCCCCGTTGCCAGCAACAACTCAACCATCCAGAGACCAACCTGAAAATCTGTAAATTAACAACCAGAAAAAAGCCATCTCAAGAAAATAACATCTTCAAGCTCCTAAGTGTGTTCCTTTACCATGGAGTCACTCTTAGGTCCACATGGGAAAAATATGCCAATGCAGACACGCAGCCAAGAAGTGGGTACACTGAGAAAGAACAGCTAATGGCTTGAGCAGGGCTGAGGCACACAAGATGGCAGGGATGGCAAACTTTACCGACTCCTGGGCTCATCCAGTGTCCCAGTGAATGTTTTCATACACCTCTGGTCCACATCAAAGGTGTTACTCAGGGCAGAACTGATGCCACTGTATATGATGATGACAGTGGGTAGTGAGGGAAAGCTTCTGTGTAGTCATGTTTGCTATTCAGAATGATACCCTTCTGAAATGGTAAAAAATTTTTAAAAAAGGTTTTGCGTTTAAAGTTCCATTATCTGAAAATTCTACTTAGGAAGCAGCTCATTCTATAAGGAAAAGGTACTATACACTGTTCTTTTTTAGGTGTTGGCATGGATTTTCTTTTTAAAAGCCAAGTAATGTATTACTCCTATTTTGTGATGTTCAAGACACATAAGTAGAACCCCCAAGTTTATAATCCTAGTTTTGCCTGAATATTTAAACATGCATAATTTCGAAGGCCTGAAGAACTCGGCAAGTATAATAGCCAATTCGCAAGATAAACCGTCTCATTAAATAACCTGTATCCATCTATTAAGCTCTGGTCAACAACAGAGCTTTGGTTAGCAGAGGAAACAAACCATTTGGTCCAGCATTTATTTATCAGTCACCTTACTGCATTTCTTTTTTCCTCCAAGAAATAAAAGAAATCTGGCCAACTTCCCTTCCGCATATAACCATGTTCCTTTGCCCTCTGTCCCTTATTCCAGAGGACAGTGTTTCTCCAAGTGTGATTCCTAGACCAGCATCAGCGTCATTTGGGAGCTCGCTAGGATGCAGGTGCTACAGTCCCACTGCAGACCTCCTACGTAAGAAAGTCCAAGAGTGGAGCCCCACCAGCAGTCTGCTTTAATAAACACCCTGGGTGATCCTTACATACACTGGAGTGTGAGAGGCACTGCCCTAGGGTATGCCTGTGATCTTGACCCATTATCAGTGTTCCGACCATTAAAGCCAGGGAAAAACTTAAAATACACTTTCTTCTAGATATTCCAGCCACTGAATTCTTTCCCTCACCATCACCATCCCCTCCAAATCTTAGCATTTTGGAGCTAAGGAGAACTACAGAGATAATTTAGTTCTAGGCCCGCCAGGGTTGAGGGTGATGGGGTAATTAAGGTTTAGAAGAGTGAAGGTAATTGCTTTATCACGCAGTTCTTCTCCAGAACCAAGGCTAGTGCTCTACCGCATACATTGTCTTCCATATCTGTGATGTATCCATCACCTTTCTTCCTTCCCTTCATCTCCCTTTTTCTTTCGTTTATGTGTCTATTTATTGCTGTCTCATTACTTCCACCTGCCTCACCCTAAGTCCACCGCTCCTTTTCTTCTCTAGGGCTGTTTTCTGGGTTCCTTGTTGTTTGTAATGTTAATGACAATCAGAAATGTGTAGACTCTGTCCATACTGTCCTCTTGTTTTTTTAAAGTTTGGTCTATTTCCATCAAACTTTTGGCTCTTGGGCTACTAAAGTGGTGTTAAACCTGTCAAAATGATTATTTGTTTTTATATTAACTCTTTTTTGTTTTTTACACCCGGACTAATTGTTAGGGAGATTTCTGCCCATCTTTGCCCACTAATGGAGACAGTAAAGTAATCAGATTGAGAATAAGGGTAACAGTACAGGTTCCCCTGCTAGTTGATTAATTGCTCATATCCTGTATTGGTTTAAAAAAAAAAAAAAAAATAGCCCTACCCTGCAACCTTTTATTTAGAACTGTTTATAAAAATCAGAAAATAGTATGTATGGTTTTTGTTAGTTTTATACGTACTCTTAGCCAAAAGGCTGAGAAGCAATTTTTTGGTTACGGTTTTCAACCAGGAGTGTCACTCCCAGTAGTTCTTCAGACGGCCGCTTGAATGGACTGCCACACTCTGGAAACCTGCCACTATGCTCAAAGGAAACTGAAGCTTTAAAAGCAATAGAATTAATTACGTAAAATCGTGGTGTTCAGCAATTCCTAGCTCTCAATTGCAAATCGTGTGTCCTTGGTTTATCAGATTAATTTACCGCATGTTTTTGGAGAAGGTGGTTATCCTTTCAGTAGTGATGTCACTCTCCAATGAAACAAACCCATTTTTATCTTTCAATTGTGGGCTCATCTCTATGAAGGGATCCTGGTTTATCTATGTATATAATTGCTGCACTTTTGTCTTTTGCTCTTATGGAATTACCTCTGTAAGAGTTAATGCTTCATTTGTAATTAGGTATACTGCTTTGTATCTCTAGCTACATGTAATCTTAGATTCCTGTCCCCTCTGTTCTTTATGGAGTGGAATTTGCTGATATCAAAGGGCTGAAAGAGGTGATGAATCTTACCCAGATTCCTAACTCAGCCTAGCATTTCAACTTTGCTGTTTGGCTGTATAAAAAGCAAAATATTTCCCTATCTCCACTCCCATTAGCCAAGTCCCAAGCATAAGTATTTAAAGAAACTCGGTGTCACCCCCTGAAATGGAGCACAAATGTGGCTTGCCATCAAATTACCCAACATTAATCTGCACCCAATCTCCTGAGCTGTAAGCAGGTGAAGTCTCTGTTGCCCTATGTCAAAAAGCCACGGTTGCTGATCTGCATAGAGCCCAGCTCTTCACTGCAAACTTTCCTTGTGGATCAAGGCACTGCTGTCTACATCTTTGTTCCTTAGCAGGGTCAGCCACTCGGCTGTATTTTCTTTTTGGTCATCAACCAGCCTTCTCTGCTGTCAAATCAGCTAGGTAAGAGATTCGTAAACTCCCTCCCACTCCGAAACATTAAACCTCACTTAAATAAAAAAAACTTTGGGCGGTAATTCATCAACCACCAGCTTTTGAGGAAGGGGTGGTCATTTACTTACACAAAGCAATTGCCTCTGAAAATGCATTCTTCTTGACAAATTATCATAAGCTCACTCACTTGTCTATCCCCTTAGCACAAGGAGGATTATTTGATAAATCTATATTTTAAAATGTGTAAATGGCTGTTTTCTGACTCCCTCCCTAGTTGAAATTGAATTTGGCATCGGTGGAGCCATCAGTGGAGTTCAGTGCATGTAAAATTGTATTAACTGTGGACCTTTTAGCCAAATGGACATAAAACTTTGCCTCTTCAGATTTTCCCAAATGCCACTAAGAGAACCCTGAAGAGAATCCATGGAATTTACTCTCTCATATATAAGAATATTCCAAATTGATTTTTTAATCCACTATTAGGTCCAGAGTGGTAGAGTTGGACTTGAACGGAAGAACCAGGATTAGAGCTAGAAAATCAGGTCTATCCACTTAAAAATGTTGGGGCAGGCAGGGGGCGGGGCGGGGGTGGGAGGAAGGAGTGCCCTCTGTCTTGCTTAAGGCCAAGCCATGAGTGGCTCCTGTAGATGCTGAGCAAAGAAGCCTTTTTAAAGCCATAGTTCTGAGTGCTTTATAACCATTTCAAGCGCAGTCTCCTGGCATCTTCTGTGCACATTAGAGAGCAAGTGTATCAGAAATAAAATCCAGATGGAATTAGTACTCATTAAAAAGAAATTAAGCAGATCCACTTCCAGTGTATTAAAATTTAATTGATACTCTGCCAAGGTCTCCTAGTATTTTTCACACTGTAATTTAATTCAGTAAACATTTAAACATCCGTTTTGAAGGTGTACCCTAAGGCACTCTGGGACACGTAAAGATGAGAGAGACCCTGGTCACCAGCGACATCACGGTTTTTGCCTATGGATCTCACTCAGTATTGGATTTTGAGCTAAATTTTTTACTTCCTTCTAACAAATTCTACATGTACACAGGTTCTTTGCTTTTAAGTGCAAAATTAATACTACAGTATTCTGTGGAAAATAACCAAAACTCCAGAATTTGTCCTACAGAGATCCATGCAAGGAACTCTTTTAGACCTAAGGAAGCGGGGAAGCTAGTAGGACTTAATACCTGCCCTCAAATGGATTTCAGAATAAGAGGGGTAAAGTGCACACAGATAACTATTTTGATTTGACCTCTTTTGTGGGACTTGCCATGTTGTACTTTATACTGTTTTCTGATGGATCAAAGGGACATTTGTTTGGAAGAATGACATAACAGTCGTGACAAAATTTTTATAACGTATTTGTGACCTCAGATAATGTGAGGTGTTAATTGATTTTTTTAACCCAAACAAGCATGGGATCTATTTTAAATGGTTTTTGCTAGAAAAAGGATCTTCCCCCCCCCCCCTTTGATTAGCTTATTTTACTCTTAGTATTGGAGCATGAATTTTTTAGAACAAAAGCCTGTTCAGTTGAGTGGGTTTTTTGTTTTGTTTTCTTTTGTTTTGTTTTTAAATCACCCCTTCCACTTTATTTTGGGACTGTTTCCAAACCTGTAAGTTACTCACTTTCCTTCTGAAATGCAGACCTTCTGGGTGGAGCAACTGGGAATTACAAGCATTCTTTAGCCAGTAGCCCTGACAGTTATATGCACGGTAACAGTGTGTCAAAACCATTTCTCTACGCTTAGACTTAGCTCTGAGCCCCTACCGTTCCTGATGTGTTTACCAGGTTTAAAATGTCTCCCTCTTAGAAGAAACTTAAAGGCCTCTCTCTAGGGATTACTTAAAATCTCTGAAACAATTTTAATGTTTTAGGGAACTGCATGTGGTATCCCCAGACCTTTATTTGGCATTCTCTTGATTATTTTTCCCTTCTTTTTCTGTGTTATTATTATCCTGTATTTCAGGGAGAAAAATAATTTAAGCTGAGCAGTTGCTTGCTGTAATTTCTAATTTTTCATTTAATTTTTTAGTTTAATTCTTGATTTAAACTAAAATTATTATTCTAACGGAGGTGGTAAAAACATGTCTACCCGTAAAATTAGCAGTTCTAACATTTGTTTACAGAGTGTAATGTTTAGGCGATTAATGGTCAGAGTTCAATAATTCAAAACTGATTTCTTCTGAAAACCAGGGAACATAATAATCATCCCATACCTACTCGTATTTCACCCTTTTAAAAAATCCTGTGGCCATCACTCACTTTTGTTTTTCCTTCCATTCCGTGTCTGTGAAGCTTCTCTGCCTTGCTCTAAATCGGCAGTTTTCATGCAGCTGTTTCCTCATCAAGGTACTCTATCCTTCCGTCAGCTTTGCACGAAATACCGCTTACCCCACGCTCGTCCTGGGCACGTGGCATGAGACTTCACTCACCGATCCCTGTAAGCACAGTTTGGCTTAGCACCTGAGGCACTTGTAACACCACCGCTGTAAGGTCTGGTGCTTATTGGGCCTGCGGGGCCGTGCAGTCTGTCTCCGTGAGGAGCTGCTTATACCCGCCCTCCCCTCCGCCGCCCCCAGCACTGAACATGCGGTCCCAGCCCTGGGCCGACGCAGGCAGGGTCACCCCAGGGACAGTTAATAGGGAGAGCAGGGTAAGTCGTTTGAGGAAGAGTTTCTAGCTTAGAAGTACTTGTTTTCGCCCAATACCAATATAAACCCAATCCCAATATTTCCTTACAAATTAAAGCTGCCCGTGTACTCTAGCCCCATATTTAAAAAAAGGAATGCGGCCTGTACTTAGTTCTAAGGGCTAAGAAGAAAAAAATGTGATGCACTTAGGTTTAATTTATAAAAGCTGTCTCCTCTTCTTTTACTCTCCTATAACTATTACACAAAAAGGTTAGACCTAATACAAAAAGAAGTAATGGCAATTGAGGAAAAGTCCATAAAAGTTTTTGTTAATTCTTAGAGTTACAAGTTTGTATATCTAGCTTAAAGTACAAATATTTCCAAACACGGACTTAACATGTCTCCACGAAAGTATTTACTATACCGTAAGAACAAGCTATTGTTACCTCTTCTTCTAAGGTTTGTGTTTTGTGCTTAATCCCATTGTCCTAAGTACACATCCTAGTATGCACGTTCTAGTGTAAAATTCAAGTCCTCTGCATTTGTTCTAATACGCCTTTCAGTACGTCACGTGGTCTTTTTTATTTCAGGTGTCAAGAGCGTCTTGATTTCTGTAGTGGTTATCTTATCTGTGTGCAAGAAGTCTTCACATGGATTATCTTGTCTGATTCTTCTAACAGCCCTTGGAAATAGGCAATTCTACTCTTACCCTTAATTGACAGATTAAGAACTAAAACCTAAAGTTAGGTTCTGATCCAACCAAGACTCAAACCTGGGTCTTCTGACATGTTTGCTTCCTTGTCTGTAATAAATGAGCCCTCTGATGTGTTTGCCTTCTCATATATGTCTTAAGACTTTTCTGACAGGTTTGCCGTATTATGTATGTAATCAACTAAGCAACGCGGGGTCAGGTAACCTACCAGAGCTCCTGTGCAGCTGGTGTGAGACTTGACTTCTTAGTCTTTTTGTTGTGTGACCTCTCACAAATTAACCCATTTTTCTTTGGCTTCTCAAGAACTAAAAGGGGTTCAGTCCTTTTATTATTTCATGAAAGTATAGGTTCCAGTTTGGGGAAAACATTTTGGTCTTTAAAAAAAAAAAAATAGGTGAATTTTAAAAATGGAGTGTTTTATTATATGTTAGGTTAGACCTATCCCTAGCTGTCAAAATATATAAACCATGATACCTGCCTTCAAGGAACTCATGTTCGAGCAGAGGAGATAGATTTATAACTTCAATAACTATTATGTCATGTAATCATTTTTCCTTCTTGATTTCCTAAAGTCTGGCCAATAACACCTTTTGTTTAGGATTTCATCTTTATCTGGAACCACTACAGTTCATTGAAGCATAGTGCTTATTAATACACTGCTCTAGAGAATTTCCAGCTTCTTCTGTCCCGCGTGTCTGTAACTGGCTGCGTGTTTGACCACAGCCCATATGGGGGTGCGGGGCGGGGGGGTGGGGGACTGAAACTAGGAAATCAGGACCACGCAAGTTTTTACCTTTGTTTCATTCAGGTGGTGGCCTCTGGGTTTCTATTACCTCAGGCAGCTTTGCTCTTGTGCCCACTGAGAGTCAGAAGGGTAAGCCGTTGCTTAGGGGCCTAAGAAGAGACCAGACTGCAAAGCCTCAGAGGGGCAACACCAGGGTCTGCTTCCTAATTTAAAGCATCACCTGTACTGGTCCAGGGTAGATCCTGTCTCCATTTGAGCAGTCTGGCTGGCCATCTGAGAGTTCTTCCTCTGGGATGCCAAGACCAGATCCTTCACCAGTGTCTAGAGAGGTTTCGAGATGTCATTGTAGAGAGCAAAAAGAAAGAATGCTGCCAAAATTCTCAAATGTGCAAACCGGAAACCAAAATGCCAGAACTGGGCACCACGATCTCTCTGTTTCGTTCTAACTTGGCTTCTCCAAGATGCTGCACCCTGGTATAAATGTAATGCATTTTTAATTGATTTTTTTCTTACATATGACCCTCCAAGATGTTTATATCAGCTTCTCCTTTAAAGTAAAACAGTTTTGCTGTGGAGTTAGGAAACAGTTATGCCACATTTACCTGTGTGTGGCTTGTAGAGTCGGGTCACCGAGTAGGAAGAAAACACACATACAATAACAAGAATTGAGATGAAAATTAATATGAGGGCAGAAGTAGGACATCAACCTCTAACATAGCCTGGAGGCTTTTGGCTGTGGGTGATGGGACAAAGTCAGTGATACTTTAACATTTTTAACCAAAAGGAACAGGTGCTCATTCGGGGGGGGAAAATGAGGAAATTCAGAAAAATAGAAGAAAAAAATCACCCTTAATCCCACCACTCTAACGTTTTACTATGTTTTATACATTTTATAAATGTTTAACATTTTGATACATCTCCCTCCCGTTTCTTTTCTTTACATAGTAAAGGTCTAAAACTTTATAGCTTGCTTTCTATCCTTAACATTTAACAGGAAATAAATGAGCCTTTTAAATTTTTATTTAGAGGTCTGAAAGTTACTTGCTTGACAGAAAATAGAAGATCCTTAGTATTTCTTTGGAGAAACCTTCACCCTAGTGACTTAGTCTGTGACTACAGCTTCTGTGATTTTCATTCTGGGAATATCAGTGAGCAGGCCCTTGTGCCTCCGCAGAAGCATTGCCCCCTCGCAGTGTAATGAACGAGTGCCTTCTCCCTGGAGTGAGCCCAGCCCAGCAGTGGCAAGGCTGTCTCAAAGGTGTGCACACGAGAGCAAGCCCCAGGCTGGCGGATTGCTGCCAGAGAGCCACGGGCCCTCCTCGTGGTTGCCCACGCTGAGCTCCTCCTGATGGCTGTCTCCCAGTTGTTTTCAGACTCTTCTCTTCTTAAATCCTCGTTTTGCCTGAATCTTAACTTTCTATGAAGGATAGGACCCCAGGTAAGGAACTGTGGACTTGAACTTTTAGTCCCCGTGCAGATTTAAGGAAATGGAAGGTCATATGCACTGAATTCATGACAATTTCGGATGGAGAAAGCTAAACAAAAATTATTTTTGTCTTTTCCACTCCATATATGACACCACACCCTCGAGATCAGGGGTTGCACGCTTTTTGGCTCTGAATTACAGCGATCACATTTAAAACTGGTAGCATTCCCTTCAGCCCATATTTACTGAAGAAGATAGCAACTAAATCCTAAAGGAAAAGGAAAAGGAATAATAAATAATCTTTGCTTTTTTGGTCATAGAGGAAATAAGATGTAGACACAACTGGTGGTGCAGGGAGACTGTAAGAGATACAAATGCCCTTTAGAAGCAAGGAGAGAGAGAGAGAGAGAGAGAAAGTTCTGGCAGGAGACTGCAGAAGGCATCAGGAAGGAAATGGAGAGGAGAAAAAAACGGGTTGGACGTATCTAACGGAGACAGGCGTGGCAATGAAAAGAGCCCGCACAAACACACACTGCAGAGCTCAGGGCACGCTAGAGATGATGGGCAGCCTTCTTTGCATTTTGTTATTATTTTTGTAAAAATCGCCTGAGGAAGATGCATATAAACACGCAGACGAGGACAAAGCTCGTCCAGAATTGTGTCACCCAGAGAAGCGTCCTGTGAACACCGTGGTGCGCTTTCTTCCATTCATCTTTCTGCACACGTGGTTAGAACGGGACAGATTCCAGATGCTGGTTCCCTGTGCTCGGCTCCCAGGGAGGGGTGGGGGGCGCTGTCTGACTCTGCACTCAGACTTGCAGCCTGGTGCACGCTCTCATAAAGAAACACTAGCAAGTGTCCGCCTTCCTGTGGCAAGTTCGAGACAGCAAACCCCTGTTGAGCCTGTGCACATCTGGCCTTACACTCTGAATGGAATTCGGGGCCAAATCTAAATGATATGTGGCTCCTAGAAAGTCATCACAAATTCACTTCCTTTTCATGAGCCAATGAGTAGATGTCTGGATCTATGTCCATCTTCTGTAACAAAGCCTTCTTGGCTTGAGATGGTCCTTTGTCCAAAAGTGGGTATTTTTTCCTCCTCAGATTTCATGTTTATTTTAAAAATCAAATGGTGTATGATAAGAATTAGGTAAAAATTACCTGAATTAACGCTACCCAGAAATAACGTATTCTGGCAGGTGTTTTCCCAGCTTTTTTTGTTTTTTTTTTTTCTACTTTTACTAAATCATGGTCATCTTTCTGTATCCGTAAATATCGACCAGTACTTTGCACTTTGATACAAATTGCCAACACGCCCTCCAGCTTTCTGCTGTCCCACCAAGTGATACCATAGGTGGGTATAATCAGTAATTATTTTGGTAAATTTTGCTGAAGCGTCACAGAAAAATACACAGATCAAATTTACAACCTAGTGAACTTTTAAGAAGTGAACACTTAAAAATCCAACATCCGGATCAAGAAACAGAACATTGCCAACACCCCCAAGAAACTACCTACATTCCCCCTTCCAGTCACTACTTCCCAGGTCACCACTATTCTGTTACCTAATTTGTAATCTTTACTAATCTGATTAACTATGTTGTGTTTTGCTTCCGGTTACTTTTATGAAGTCACTGCTTGGACTGTTGATAAAATTCATTGTAGGGCCCAGTTTCTGGAGGTTAAATCTCCTCCGTGAAAGAAACGAATGACATCTATTTTAGGTGCAGAACATGAAGTGATATGCCAGAGTTGAAAAGGTTAAAGCAAAGATTCTACAGGGGCACCTGGGTAGCTCAATTGGTTAAGTGTCCAACTCTTGATTTCCACTCAGATCATGATCTCACAGTTTGTGAGTTCGAGCCCCACGTCGGGCTCTGCGCTGACAGCACGGAGCCTGCTTGGGAGTGTCTCTCTCTCTTCCTCTCTCTCTCCCCCTCCCCCACCCCCTGCTCATACATACACTCTCTCTCTCAAAATAAGTATTTTTTAAAAAGATTCTACAGTATAACCTTTGTCATATATTCTCAGTAAATATTTGAGTTCCTTTGAGACAGGCACTGTGATTTAAAAAAAAAAAAATCTTCCTTTCTTTGAAATGACAAATTTCAGTATCTTCTGCAACTGGAGAGTATATTCATTCTGTGTTTAAACACCGGTAAGGCCATGTGGCTAGAAGCTGACCTCTGCTGGAAGCTTCTGGTATGATTTGGTGGTAGGAGCTCTCGTCTTCCCCGGTGGCTGCTAGCCTTTCGTTCAGCTCAAGCCCGCCTGCCTCTCTAGCTTTTCCTTGCAACTTGTCAGTTCTTTTTCTTTTCTTCCTTATGCTGTTTTTCTGCCGTGATAGCAAATTTTGCTTAACAAAATGTGAAGTTTTGTGTGTGGCAAGGTCTTTGTGAGTAAACATCCTAGCAGCTGTTACAATGAAATACGCGAAAGCAATTTGCCAGGTTGCAACCTCCTTTACACGTCATGAGATTCAGCCCCGGAGCCCAGCACCAGAGGAGGGAGAGTAACTGGCTGCTTCTCTTCTCTCCAGGGATCGACAAGGAGAACGTTGAACTCTCCCCCACCTCTGGCCACTGTAACAGTGGACGCACTCGCCATGGATCCGCAAGCCAGGTGCAGAAGCAAAGAAGCGCTGGCAGTTTCAAACGTAATAGCATTAAGAAGATCGTGTGAAGCTTTCTTCCTTTCCTTTTTCAAACAGACTTAACTTACACGGGCTCTTCACCAGTGACCCCTCACCACCGTGCTGTGACGCTGCACTTCATGTTCCACGAGGAGCCCGTCCAAGTCTGCCATGTTGCCAGATGATCAACTCTTGGAAGCATTGCCTAAATCTAATGCTGCTTTTTCTTTAACTTTTGTTGTTGTTGTCGTTCTCCTACTTTTGGTGTGTCTGGTGTGAGCAGGTGTTCGGAACAACTGCAAAGAAAGTGGGAGGTCAGGACGCTTGAACTGAGAACGTCCCACTTGTGAGAAAGGATGAACTCTTGATTACTGCTACCACTGGCCAGCTATGAAAGCCATTTGCACAGAGCTCTGCCTTCTATGTTTTCCCCTCCTTCGTCCTACAAAGTAAAGTGTTAGTCTCACTTACACACCTTTCGAGATAGGAGTTCATGGGACAAGTAGTACTATAACCCCGGTATGTTTAATCTGACTTTTAGCTGTGGACTTTTTTTTACCTTACAAAACCGAAGGAACCGTAGAGGTCAAGCCTCAGTGACTTCACACCATAAAGCCACAGGCAAGGTACTTTGGGGGGGGTGAAGGGATTTAGAGTTTTGTAATGAGTTCTTAAGAAATACTAACACTCGAGTATTAGCAATAATCACAGGAAAGGAAGCATAACCACGCATATCTTAACGTTACCGAATTAAAGCGACGGGTTCTGAGGCCTTATCCAAACTCAGTCATCCAAACTAGTTTATTTTTGTCTCCAGTTGATTATCTTTTAACCTTCAAGTATGCTGAAAGTTGTTGTTTCTGTTTTTGTAAGCCAAAACTATACTAAGTATAGTCATGATCTGTTTTCCCCCTCCTTCTCTTCTTTCCTAAATAATTCTGAGCAGGGTAATCCGTGAACAAAGTGTTGGAAATTGTTCCTTGAAGGTCATTTTTGTAAATGTTTGCATTAGCTCCATAGCAAAATGGAATGGTACGTGACTTCTAGAGTAGCTGATGCTTTTAATTTCATCGGATGACTTTCCCAGAAACACAGAGTATGGTGTATATTATCAAAAGTTTCTTTGACGACATGTATTTTAAGTGTCTCGTGATCTCACCCCCTCCCCTCCGAAAAAATCAGGAATCCTTTTAGCAAACCATTTGGGTTCTATATGATAGAACTGCATTTAACCACTGTGAAAGGACGGGCCGGCCTGCATTAGTGTGACAATAGGGGACCTTAACAGTTGCTGCTATACTGAACCGTATGGGTTATCCTGGTGTTGGAATTTCCCTGGTAATGCAGACCCAGGTTTTGGGTGGTACCTGCAGTATGCAAAATGATTTGGCTTCAGTGAACGCAGTCGTGGTATCCGGATGTTCCAGTTTAGAACTGAACCGTATTTATTACAAAAAGATAATATCCCCCTGTTCCCAGGTTCCCTTTATATGTTCCGATGTGATGGCTTTGGGAGGGGAAAGAAACGTAGGGGAGGGGAGCCTCCTGTAGTGCTATTCCATGAGCGGATTTCAGTAAATTAAATTCCACAGCTAAATCAAGAAATAATGGTACATTGAAGTGTTCTGATTTTAATAATATAACACATTTCACATTTATCCACACAGTAACAATGTAATATGTTAATGTAAATAAAATTGCTTTTGATATTGAGAAATAACAAGAATTTAATTTTTTTAATTTGTTTACAGTCTCGGAAAAGTAAGAACCATCTGCCAAAATAAAAGGAGAAAACACTTTAGTTAATACTAAAGTTAGTGGTTATTTTGACATAGAATTGTTGGAAAATATTGAAGACAGGTGCAATTAACTAAGTTTGTGTTTTTATTGTAGAGGCTGCGTTAGAGTAGTGTTTATAGTAACAGAGCAACTAAGTCTACAAAGATGCTAAGACTAGAGCTGAGTTTAGAGGTAGATCCTTAACAACCCGATGCCACGCTGCTGTTAAGGTCGTGGTTCTCCCACGACCCCGTGCTCCTGGGAAGGTATCGCGACTCCTTGGATCCTGGAATAAAAGGCAGATGTGAGCCTTTAATCATTGTGGTTCCATGTTTTTCCTCTTGGTTGGTTCGGTGCGTGTTGGTGGGTGTTGTTACACTGTTCTGCTTCTCCCAATCAAAATAGAGAAACTGCCAAAGGTTTTCTGTTAAAAAATAGTGATGTTTCCGTAACAAACTTTTCCAGGTATGATATTTCTTAAATTTATTCATTATTTCCCTCTAGTGTAATGAATGGAATGAATTCACTTGAAGTACCTCACGAAATGATCAGCATTGCACAAATCAAAATTGAGCCTTCTTTGAACTGCAAAAATACTTTTTTGATCAGTACATCCTGGAAATTTGAGAATGCCCTAAGGTTTAAAATTTACCTTGTTTAGAGAACTTCTGACTTTTGAGGAGAACCTAACTTTCCAAGTAACTAAAATGAACATGAGCCTAAGCCTCACCAGTACTTGTCCCCTGAGAAATGAAAACACTCTCTCAGGCCTCCTACCACCATCTATCTACACAAGAAATCGGAGGTTCAGAGCAAGTTGCCCATTTTGCGTAATCCGATGTGAGTTCTACAAAGAACATCATAATTGGGGTTTGTGGCTGTTTCCCCTGACTTGCTAAAGAGGCAAACGTGACTCAGCACGTCGCTGTGCAGAACCCACCTGCTTTCTCACGGGCCCCATCCCAGGGGTGCGCCCTTATTCACCAACGTCGCGACGCCGGTCCCCGGTTCCCCGGCTCCGGGGGGGAAAGCGGCGAGGCTCTGCCCTTCATCCACTCACCCCTCCCCTGCCCGTTACAGAATGCCAGCCCCGTGCAATCCTGATGGGGGGGGGGGGGGGGGGGGAGGGAGGAGGAGGGGGCGCCTGGACCCCCAGGAGCAGTCAGCTGCTGCTCCCACAGGACTCCCTCCCTGCTTAGCGGGTTTTAGGCTTTTTCCGTTTTGTTCTGGCTTTCCGTTTGCTACAGCCCTCCCAGCCCTCCAGGCATCATGAGGCATGTCTTATTCAATGTTATGCAATGGACTTCTAAAAAAAAAAATTCACTCTTCGTGTCAGCCACACAATTTTTTTTAAAGCAGTATATTCACCTGTAAATAGTTTGTGTAAAATTTGACAGAAAAGTATATTTACTACACTGTAAATACATGTGATGATATATTGTATTATTTTGCTTTTTTTGTAAAGCAGTTAGTTGCTGTACATGGATAACAAAAATTTGATTATTCTCGTGTTAGTATTGTTAACTTCTTCCTGCGACTGCGTTACATCATTTAAAGAAAATGCTGTGTATTGTAAACTTACATTGTATATGATAACTTCCTCTCCTTTCCACCTGGGCCTAAACTGTGGCAGTTCCCTTGTCTACAGCCTTGTGAATATTGTCCGCCAGCAGGAGAAATACTGCCCGGCAGTCAGAAGGGATCATTGTAGGGGAAAATTGTAGAAATCCATTTCAGACCATTGTTGTTCCCACCCCGTTTTCCTCCCTGTGTATGTACTCCACACCACCCACCCACCCCCTTTTTTTAAGTAAAATGTAAATTCAATCTGCTCTAAGATGTGGGGAGTTGTTTAATTGCTTCACATGCCTCAGCTCTGTTTTCTCACTTCCCCCCCCCACTTCTCCCTGATCTTTTGAAACATCAAGGCCGGTTCCTTTCTTTTAAGGATGCCTTGGGTTCTCCTCCCTCCCACAGCACGGGACAGACCTTTCTATTTCCAGAACCTCTCTAAAGGAAAAGTGAAATAATTTTGGCGAACCGTGTAGGGGAGGAAGAGTTTTCCTCGAGCCTTTTAGGGTCCCTGGCTGGGTCTGAGAATTAAACTGACAAGGACAGCTTAACAGAAGAAAAGCACACAGCACAGGTTTACGTATACAAGTTTTACATGACACAGGAGCCTTTATAAGAAAATGAAGACCCGAAGCAATTAGACCTGGGGGTGTTTATGCTTGTTCTGCTCGATGAAGAAGAGGAGGGCGGTCACTTCACGGAGGAACATGATAGTCAAAGAGTATGAGGTAAGTGTAGTCAAGGGGAGGGTGGGGGACACTTAGCAAGTCCTGTTTGTTTCCATGCTCTTGTCTTTGGAGATAAGGATGCTCCTTTTTTCTGGGCCTAGGGAGAATGGCTCTCACAGGAGGGGATTATGCCCTGTTTTCACGGGGAAAGGGCAGGGGCAAGGTCAGAGGGAATGCCTCCACCATTTTCTGACTCTCTGTGCCGTGTTTGGGGGTTGTGTGGCCTGATCCCCATCCAGTGCTTTTTCAGGACAGCTCAAGCTGAGGGGTGACTGTTCTCTGGGATGAGCCGTCTTGACTTGTTTTAAAATGAGCCGTTGGAAATGCCAAGACCCCCCTGAGATGGAGCAGTCAGAGGGCCTGTGTTGGGACCGTACACCTCTCTCCACCTTTTCAGCGTTCCCTCCGTGGACTCTTCTGTGACACTACGTGGGTAAACACTGGAAAACACTTTCCCTGGCTCAGCTGATGCCAGCTTTACTATTTACCCCATTAGGTGGGCTACTCCCGGGTGGAGAAAGAATCCAGCCTAAACACTGTAGGCAGGACAGAGCTGATCCTTAGGAGGATGGCAGTGCCTGGCGTTAAATAAAGGACTAAAGCACCATGAAACAGATTCCCGCACGTGTGGGGCAAGGGCTGGTCTGTTTGTGGGGACACAGAGCAGGTGTACCTCACCTGAAGAGCTTGCTAATATTTCTTGGGCCCTCTGAGGCACAGGCAGACTCCAGGGATGGGGTTCTAGGAGGGACAGACAAAGAGTTTAAAGCCTCTGAGGTGACTGTCCTGGGTGCCCAGGCATAACTCCGCTGTCTTTTCCCTGTGGCCTAAAGCGTGGTAGCCCAAACTAGGGCTGCCTCTGGGGTAATAACCCTTTGGACCACACCTCTCTATCCCTGGACAATAAGCTCCTTGACACGGACCATATTGTTTATCTTTTGTGGGGCCCCGTGCCCTTTCTTGGGCTGTAC